AATTAGATTTGGATGGTGGGGAACGGAAGGATTGATATTCCTTGCAGACAGAGCTGGTCATTTGCATCCTTTTAGAGAGTCCTTGAGGCCACTTGGAGGTTTATCTGTGTCCTCAGGGTCACCCGAGTGGTGCAAACGGTTCCTGTAGCCTGCAATTTTTTTCCCCTCTGGAAATCCCTTCATAACCCAAATCTAATTTTGGAAATTTGGCGCTTACAAAATAAAAATAAAAATAAAAATGGCGCGGCAGGGGAAATCGACCGCAGGAAATATAATTGTGGATTTTTTGGTCGGGGCCCCATTTGGTTGTGGTCAGAAGCGTTCGGGACCAGAAGTTCTACTGCACGCCTGCGAGTCAGGAATCCCAGCATGCAGGATCTGACAGGGTCTCTTTAATCCCTTTTGTAGCAACACCTGCGTAAATGGATGGAGGTGGTGGTCCTAACGCATAAAGGAGGCCAGAGGAGCGATGGAAACGTAAGTCCCAGGTTCTTTTTTGGGGGGGTCTTTGAACGCGGAAAGAGAGACGCTTACGGTAGAAGGGAGAAAGGTCACATTTAACTGCCAGGTTTCGATTCTTTTCAACTTCATGCGTGTTTTTTTCCTAGGATGGAAGCGTTTTTATTTTATTTTTCATAAGGTAGCCCCTCCATGGCATTGAGAGGCAGCTGGTGGGACATGAGCGGATGCAGCTGAAGTGCAAGGAAGGCCCCCTTTCTCTCCCCCCCCCGAGTGAATGGTGCGTGAGATCTTTGTGGTGTGGAAAGTGTGGCTGGACCACAATGTTGGCAATTTCTTCTCAGTGAATTGCTTGCTTAGTTGTTCCCAAGCTTCACCCTTGGAAGCTGTTCTGGTTATCTCCACTGGGACTGGAGATAATTACAGAGCACCAATGATGAGGGAGGGAGGGAGGGAGGAAGGAAAAATTAGAAGAAGAGGGAGGGAGGAAAAATTAGAAGAGGGGGGGAGGAAAAATTAGAAGAGGGAGGGAGGGAGGAAAAATTAGAAGAGGGAGGGAGACAGGAAGGGAAAATTAGAAGAAGAAGGGAGGAAGGAAAAATTAGAAGAAGAGGGAGGGAGGAAAAATTAGAAGAGGGAGGGAGGGAGGAAGGGAAAATTAGAAGAAGGGGGGAGGAAGGAAAAATTAGAAGAAGAGGGAGGGAGGAAAAATTAGAAGAGGGAGGGAGGGAGGATAGGAAAATTAGAAGAATGAGGGAGGAAGGAAAAATTAGAAGAGGGAGGGAGGAAGGAAAAATTGGGAGGAAGAAATTGGAAGAAAAAGGAGGGAGGGGGAAGGAAGGAAAAATTAGAAGAGGGAGGGAGGAAGGGAGGAAGGGAAAATTAGAAGAAGAGGGAGGGAGGAAAAATTAGAAGAGGGAGAGAGGGAGGAAAAATTGGGAGGAAGAAATTGGAAGAAAAGGGAGGGAGGGGGAAGGAAAAATTAGAAGAAGAGGGAGGAAGGAAGGAAAAATTAGAAGAGGGAGGGAGGAAGGAAAAATTAGAAGAGGGAGGATGGAGGAAGGAAGGAAAAATTAGGAGGGAAAGAAATTAGAAGAAGAGGGAGGGAGGGGGGAAGGAAGGAAGGAAAATTAGAAGAAGAGGGAGGGAGGAAAAATTAGAAGAGGGGTGGAAGAAATTAGAAGAAGAGGGAAGGAGGGGGGAGGGAAGGAAGGAAGGAAAAATTAGAAGAGGGGGAGGAAGGAAGAAATGAGAAGGAAGAGGGAGGGAGTGGGGAAGGAAGGATGGGAAAATTAGAAGAGGGAGGAAGGAAGAAATGGGAAGGAGGGAGGGAGTGGGGAAGGAAGGGAGGAAGGAAAAATTAGGGAGGGAAGAAAGAAAAAATAGGAGAGAGGAAAGGAAGGAAAAATTGGAAGGAGGAAGGAAAGAAGGAAGGAAGGAAAAAATTGAGGAAGGGACAAAGGAAAGAAAAATTAGGGAGGGAAGGGAGGATAGATACCGATGGTTTTGCTGGGGAATAGTGGCTGGGGAATTCTGGGAGTTGAAGTCCCCAAGTCTTAAAACTTTCCACTTTCGTAGCCCCTGATCCGGTGGGAGGGGGGGGGGTCAAAAGCACTTGATTCGTCCTATCCTCTCTCCAGAAATCCCTCTCTCCCTTATTTGGACGGTTTCCTTAAAACATTCCGGAAGTTGTGTTTGCGTGTGTGTGAGAATGAACAAGACTGGTGATCTCTGGGTGGCCTCTTTGCCACCCTGAACCTGAATTCTGCTTCTCAGTGTCTTGTCCAGCTTTAATCTCAACCCCCCCTTCCCCCCCCTCCCCTCCCCGGCCCACCCCAGTCGGCTTTGGT